TTAATAAACCTTGGGCCCAATAGGATTTCTTCGATTTTCACTTCTATAAACAATTAAATATTAAAAACTTTGTCCTCACCCAAATATAGTTATACATATAATTCTAATAAATAAACTCTGCAACAATTCTAATATGTAAGTTTCGGCCAGTATATTGAGTTTATGAGCAAGAGGAATATCTTGAAACTATTGGACCCTCTTATTTGGAGTAAACACAAAAAAAAAAATAATAATAATAATAATAATAAACCTGATCTAATCTTTTACTCTTTCAAAAAAAAAATATTTTGTTACTACTGATTTGTTTAGTATTTATTACTAATCTGTATGTATAAATGCAGAGATCTCACATGGGATGGGTAGCAGGACTGTAGTTTATATTTAAAAATTCTTAAAGGAATATTAGTTAAAAGATCTGGGATCCAAGCAGAAAGGAAATCCATATTGCAATTGTAAAGTCAGATTTCAAATTTGATTTCACTGATATGAAGTAAACAAAATCCCAGACCATAAAAAGTGCCTGAAAAGCCAAAAGATCTATTCGTTATTATATGCCCACTTCACTTGATTGGCACAGGAGCACCACTTTCTTTTTTGAAAAAAAATCCACAGACCAGTTCTGAAAATAAAAGAATCTGTAAGGGGATATGCTAAGAGGCCAAATAATTAAAAGGGTTAAATTTTATGACATTATAATTTATGCCAACTAAAGTAACCTTTTTTCCTGTTTCATTGCTACCACCCATTAATGGAAAATAAGAAAGATGTGGGATTATATTACATGCTTCTTTTTTTCTAATTTGTAGATGTTAATGGGTAAGAGAATAAGAACCAAAAGACACCAGATAGCATCAAAGATTTAAGATATAGCATTGCTTTCCATGATCCGTAAACATTTTCTCAGAAGCCAAACAAGGAAAACAGAATTTAGAAAAAGAAAATGTAGGAAAATAGAACAAATGTTATTACCAAGAAATAAGGAATGGTTCCCTAAGGTAGTTGTAGACACTAATGATGAGATTATCGTTAGTGACTGCATCGATCTGGGGACCCGGAAACTGGCCATTGATCAAGATCCCCTGCAACAAATTTTCTTTTCAACTTTCAATTTTCTCACAATGAAACAAACTTCGAAACACTTTCATGGAATCCAAACAACACCAAGAAAACATAGTAGCAAAGAAGAGAGTACCTGTTGCTTAACACCAAGAGGGTAGATATCACCATAAGTGATCTTCCACGTGAAAAACCTATATGGGTCTTCACCATTGACGCCATTAACGAGAAGCAAACCAAGACCGCAGAAAAACAGAGCAACCCTGCAATCTCTCATTTTGCCAAAGGTTATTATCACCTCTTCAAATGGGATGCAGATCTGGAGAACGGAAGAAAAAAAACAATCAACACAATCTTACAAAAACGAAATGGGTAGTTTACATTATCTTTATTTATAGATAGATTTTCTACCTCTATAAATCTTCTCTTCTGTATTTTTTTTTCATTATACAATTGTTTTGTATGCAGAGCAGAGCTTTCCCTGCATTGTCTATAAACAAGCGGGAGGCAGCGGAGCAGAGTGGAAGATAGTATGGTGTCCGTAGTGCGAGCTGTCAGTGGGGTTATGTAATCCCCTGCGGTAAGATCTAGGAGAGTAACATATTTCACTGAAGATAAGCCATGCGATCATTTGATTATTTGACTTTTGACTGAGTTGACTAGGGAGGAGTGTTATATTGCAAAATAACATGGGAATTACCACTTTTCACGTGCCTGTAGTCTCACCCTTTCACGTGGAAATGGAAAATAAATGGACTATAATTTTTACCATATAATTTTTTTATTACTTGTTACTCTTATTTAAAAACGAAGATTAATTTTTAAATATAATTATTAAAAAACAATTTATTTTGTTTTATTATAAAAAAATGTGTGAAATAATATTTTAAAAAATTAATAAATATTGTTAATAATTTG